TGGTCACAAAGGTCCCCGGCAATGCAGCCGGGCCATCAGCTCCCTGGGAAAGCCAGGGTAGTTTGTAGACTGACTGCTCTTCTCATTGGTGTAGGTGGCTGCCCCATATGAAGATGATATCCTACAAGAAGCCCAGGCTGATGGGAAATATTTTTGCACCAAAGACAAAGCTCATGCGCTGCAGAAGAAGAGAAAAAGAGGACAGGATCCCTGGACAAAAGGTAGGGAGGAGGAGTTCCTCATGGCATCAGCTCAGGGCTACAACTGCTGCTGCTGCCCGAGAGGCTCCTGTGAGAAACGCCGGAGGGTACCGGCTGCCTTCCCTGCAGCGGAGAGGAGGGTGCTCCTCCGCCGAGTGCATGCCACGCTACAAACAAATGTTTGCCCAAGGTGATACAGTGGAGTCTTTCGTTTCCCTGCGATAAGACAATGCTGAGCCGTGTTTTGGCAATGGTTGTGTCTCCAGCCAGAGGAGCCCCTGCTAATGGATAGCCAGGGGAGCCTGGGCAGGGTGGCCAGGAGAGCACTCCCAAGCACCTAAGCTAACAGGGCTGAGTCCCTCGTGTTTGCTTAGCCGGTCGGGGAGGTGGTGATCGGAGAAGGCCAAATTCCCAGGGGTGATTTATTGACATTCAGAGAAAGGTTTCTGCCAACTCTGTTGATCTTCCAGTGCGGCTGTGGAGGTTTTCCCTGCTGACAGAGGAATGTGTTGTACCCGTGTTTCCTACAGGTGAAAACTGTTCCTGATAAGGGCAAGGATAAGGCAGTGTGCCTGTCAAGTCTTAAAAAGTGCTCTGTCAGAAATACCCCGCTACTATAACCCCCTTTGTACTGTCGGTAAAGACAGGGAGATGTTGACCCAATTGCAAATGTAGAGAGGGCTGTTGCTTAAGCATGAAGGGAGCTTGTTTAACAAGCAAGCGCTGCCCCTTGCTCTGCACCCGGCTTTCAGAGGTGCCTGCTCACTTGGAGGACACCGCTGCAGCTGAGTGAGAAGAGGATTTGCTCTACAAAACCAGCCGCTCAGAGCAATGGGGAGGAAGCTGCCCTGTGCTCCCCAGGGCAAGCACCACCCGACCCTCCGGAACTGGATGGGGATGTCCTGAGTGAGGGCTGGATGCAGTTGTGGCAGGAATGGGGTGATGGAGAGGCATAACCCTTCTTTCAGCATGTGGTGTGTGCCATGTACCACACTGGAAGGGGGAGAAATCCAAGAAATGCATCCCGCTGGTCTGGGTACCCTCTCAGGTACACTCCTGCACCAGGACGGTTCTTTGCCTATTTCTGCTTCACATGTTGTTTCTGTTTCCAGGGTCACAACAGCCTCCCCCAGGTACCCATGCATCTTACATGTGAGAGGGGTTTCTCTTCATCTTTCCTTTGCTGAGCTTTGCTTTCTCCTGCGCTGTCCCTATTTTGGGATGAGGCCATGCTGACCTCGTACGTGTAAATTCATTGCTCTGTGGTTAACTCCTGCGGTCGTCTTGCTGTTTACAGGAGCTAAGAAGTCAATGAGAGGAAGAAAGAAAGTCAAAGTGGAGCAGTGCTCAGCAGGGATCACGAAGGAACCGGAGAACTGCTCCACTTCCCACAACAATACCTCTGAGGAGAGCTAACAGCAGGGCAGGATGAGAAGCGACACAAATGATGCAGACCAAAGGAGAGGGCTCAGAGACCTCAGCATCCCTCCCACGCTGGGAGAGCAACTCCTCCTGCCATGCTGGGCCAGGCAGTGGCGAATTCATAAGAACTCATTAATGAGTAGAGCACCCTGAAAAACCTCACTCGGTGCCCCAGGAGAGGCAAGGCAAGGAAGAGCCATGCAGGTGATACCTGGAGCAGCCAGGTCACTGCTGGTGGAGCAGTGCTTTCAGTGACCCCCAGCCCTGCGCCGGAGCAGACCCTCAGGCTGGTGCTAGGAAGAGGAGACGCCCTCTTTGCAGCACTCACCCTGGATCAGGACCATGTTCTTCCCTGGGATTTCATGCAAGGAGAACGGACTACCCATACCCTGCTCCCCATGTACGATGTCCTGGTGGCTGGCCTAAGGGTGGTGACCAAGCTGAACATCGCAGGGCCCCATGCACAAACCTGCATTGATTAAATCCCTCCCCAGGTTTCATACATGTGTGGATCTTGTTTGACCTGGAGAAAGCCCATGGTTTTCTTTTCTAGTTAGGTGAGGAGCAAGCACATGGGCAGGCAGGTGGGACATGTCCCTGGAGAGGGCAGGGAGAAGAGCATGGGAAGGGAGGGCTTGTTTGCTCCCTCTCCCCAAGGTGTCCTGCAAGCCTGGAAAAGGCGGGTGTGTGAGACCCAGCTGTGGCTCACAGCAGAGCAGCAGCTCAGCAGTTCACATTGATCTTGGCAGGATTGCTGGGAGCTTGTTTTCACGTGGATAAACTGTTCTTAAACATTTTTTTCTGATGTGTTAAGCATGGGCAAGTTTTCCTTCAGCATAAAGTGACAGGGCGCTCTAGCCGGGGATGGGATGAGAAGGGCTGCAGCGAGCATCCCTGTAGCCACACATTGCACCAGAGACCAGGCTGGGTTCTTCCTAGCGCACGTGTGGAGAACAGGACCGAAACGGAGGGACACCAGAGAAGTGCCAGAGTCCGTACCCGCCCTCTCGGGCCCACCGCCATTTCCTTTACCCGCAGGTAAAGGAAAAACCATCATGTCCCTTGCTGATGGGTTTTTCCTCCTCACATTCAATCACATCGCTCAGCAGCTTCTGATTAACACCAGGCCAGACCCCAAAAAACAGAGCAAGGGATGACAGGTTGGAGTCGCAGCAGGAACTTGTCTCTCACTTGCACTGCTGTGGCAACCGCTTCCCCCCCCCCAAATTAACTTCTATTCTGTTTAAACGTGGTTTTGTTTGCCCCTTCACAAGAAGGAAGGGCAAAGCGCAGCAAGCCAAGCGCCCAGCCTGTCAAGAGCATCCTTTCTGCACACCCCACAGCGCGTTCCCACCTCCCCAGAGCAGGCGGGCAGCAAAAAAAAAAAACCACCCCAAAAACCCCCAGCTGCGAGGGAGCAGGGGGCTGGGAGCCGGGCTCAGCCTTGCCCGCGGCAGCTGCAGGGGGGGGGGGGGGCTGGGAGCCGGGCTCAGCCTTGCCCGCGGCAGCTGCAGGGCTCGGGGGCTGTCAGCCCCGCACCCAGCCGGGGAGGAGGATGTTTTTTCCGAGGGAGAGGGGCTGAGCCACGCGG